TCAGATGATTTAATGATGCGATAATTTTGTATTGTCTTATATTTGCTTAATGGTTTAATTTTAAATTTACGAAAACATTTGAATTATTTTAATTGTTTTTTCAACGTTTATCATTAGACCGGATGAAAATGATAATGATCCTGTTAAATCATATGTAAACGATGAAATTTAATTAAGATAATGTAATAATTTAAATTGAGGAGAAATGGAATCAATTCTAAAGTTGAACTATCAGCTAATTATATATTTGAATAACATACCTGAAATTGAACCAAACATAGTAATTAAATCATTAAATCTTCAGTACTAAACATTGTAAAGCCTAATTCACTTCTTGATAATATCAAACTTATCAACTTAATGCTTAAATTTATTTCAAATATTTGCCTGGAAAAAGTCAGGTATAAATTTTTTTTTTAATCTTTATGGCTTTTACATTATGATTTGTTATGCATATTCTATCGATTGATGCCATTTCAAACTATCATACAGTAAAATACTTATGCTAAAAAAATACTTTAATTCATAAAATTTGGTATTTGAAATTTTGAAAATTTGAAAATATCTTAGAATTTTAGCCCATTTTTTCTTTTAAGAAAAGATTTGAATATTTTTCAAAAAAACAAAAACAATAAGGGAAATTTAAATTAATTTTCAAAAAGTTATTTATTAATTTTTGATTAAAAAACAAGCTGCTGTTTTCTTGTTATTTTTAAATGTGCTCAATAATATTTCCTTATTTTTTTTTTGATCATTTCTTTTCTTTTATCCTTTATTTCTATCATTTATTAATCTTAAATTGAAGAAAAAAATTTCCAAAATTACTTTGTTTTCTTTTGATCGAATCAATTTTAATTTTAAATATTTAAAATTTATGATTACATTCATTTAATACAATTATTCATTCCAAATCATTTCCATTTTTTTCTTTCTCCCCCTCTCCCTCTCTCTCCCTTTTTATTTTTTCCTATAATTAGCATCAATTAAGCAACAATAACTCCTTCATCATATTTATTCCTTTTTTTCTTTTTTTATTTCATCATTTCATCAACAAATAGATTATAAACATTAAAATAATTGAAATGAATTTTTGCAAAACAAATGATGAGATAGTTGAAAAATTTAATAATAAAATTAAAAAAAAAAAGAAAGAAAGAAAGGAAAAAAAAGAAAGGAAGAAAAAGAAAAGATGATGACTAAATGCTATTGTATTGAAATTTTTAGTAAAGTATTCATTCTCTTCCAATCTTCCACTTCTATTCTATCATCAAATGATGGATGGATTATGATACACTTCAGAAATCATCCCATTCTTTTCTTCCCTCCAATCATCCAATCCTCATCATTTCCACTCTTTTCAATTTTTGTCAACTACATATGTCAACCACCATATACCTATAATCTTTTTTACTCTGTCATTCTCTTCATATTTATTTCACTCTCTACCTGTTTCGTTTATACAGGTGGCTTATTTGTATTACTTATAATATATTACATGTAAGTGTGTGTATGTGTGTATGTGTGTGTGTGTCTGTTTGTGTCTTCGTTTTTCGATCTACATATATATATATATATATATATATATATATATATATATATATATATATAT